TCAGTATGGCAATGGTACCCACTTATACGTCTCCATCCCTGGCTGGGCAGGTGATGCTGTTCGGGTGCTGACCCACTGCCTGGAGGCTATGAGGGTCTGGATGGGGAGGAACTGGCTCCAGCTTAACTCTAGCAAGACAGAGTGACTTTGGGGTTTTGGGAGCTGGTGATATGTCATCTTTGACCCTCAATATGGTACGACTTCCCTGGTCAGAAATGACAGTTTGGGGGTCCTCCTGGACACATGGCTCCTGTTTGAGGAGCAGATGGCAGCCATGGCTGGGGGCATCTTTGCCCAGATTCATCTTGTGCACCAATTGTGCTGATTCCCGGATCGGGAGGCCTTATTCAGTCACCCATACCTTGGTCACTTCCTGCTTGAATTACCACAACATGCTGTACATGGGGCTGCCCTTGAAGACCATCTGGAAATTACAACTGGTCCAGAATGCAGAAACACAGAGTTTTGGGCACTCTTCAGTTTGCCCCTATGATACCACTGGAGTGCAGGCTGCACTGGCTCCTAGTTCTTTTCCAAATGCAATTCAAGGTTTTGGTTATTATCTTTAAAGCACTGCATGGCATGGGACCAGGTTAAAAGTGGGACCACTTCTCCCTGAGAGTATCTGCCTGTTCCACTAGGTCAGACAGGATAGACACACTCCAGGTCCCTTTCTTTAAAAGTTGTCACCTCCTTTTCCATAGTGTCACCTGCCCTGTACTCTTACCCCTGAGATCCAGCAAGTCCCCTCTGCCCTTGCCCTCCAGATGGCCTTAAAAAGCTGGTTCTTCCCTCAAGAATAAGATGAGGCTGGAGCCCAGTGATTGTAATTGTTGACGGGTTGGGGAATGCTGCTTAGGGCACTGGGATTTGTTTTTTGGACATTAGATTTATTGTCCCTCTTGGTCTTTGTTACTGTTTTGTGAGCTGGCCAGAGTTGCAACACATAAGATGGGTGACCATACACGTCTTTTAAAGTAAGTAAATGAATATACTGTATAAATAAGCAAGCAAGCATGCTGTAAGGGGACTACAATTGAAGATCACTTGGAAACTGTTAAATGCAGTGAATCATGCAGTTATGAGCACAAGTCAATTTGCCCATGTGACCTCTTTTGAGAGCTACACTAGTTGACAGTTTGTTTCTGGGTACAGTTCAAGGTGTGGGTTATTACCTTTAACTCTACAGGAGTATTTTTCTAGTGTTCTCCGCCCATCTGTTGAGTTTTGGAAGTCTCTCTTTAGGTCTCATTGCTTAGGGAATACCTCTTGCAGAATCCCAGATTGACTTTCTCAGCCACTGCCCCCTTCTCTGTAACAGCATTCCCCTATATCCAGTTGTCCCATTCCTGTTAGTTTACCACAAAATCGTTAAGATCTGGCTATTTCAGAAGTCTTCTGGAGACTGAGTCTTTTTAATCTCTTCTGTTACAGATGATATTCCTTGGTGCATGGGTTGTTTGTTACTTATATTGATGTTTTATTATGTTGTTATAGTTATATTATGTTTTACCTTTCATCTGTTCTGAGAGGACTGTAAACTGTGCAGTCGGGTAATTAGAGCAGCATATAAACCTAGCAAATAAATAAATAAATTGCCACATTAAAGCCGAACAAATTACATTGCTCTAATTGTCTGCTGTTGCTGGCTTTTCCCCTTCTCTAGAGTCTGTTGAATTAATGAATGGTCTGTTTGGTTTGGACTACTAGAACTCCCTAATCTAGAGCTACTAGATCTGTGCTGCTGCAAACATCCAGGTGACCTATGGATAGTAGCAAAGATATGGAAATCTGTAACTGTGGCAGTCCTCCCTAATCTCCATACATTTATGAAAATCAGTGGATTTAGAATTCTAAGGGAGGCTTAACCTGGTCTCCTCTGGTGAAGGACATCCATGCCTTCTATATCATTCTGTAACCATGGCCTAAATAAATAGTAGGTAATTATATTACTTTTTGGCATCAGGAATTTTCTCAGTAATAATGAAAGTAATACATTCACAAAGTCTGAAGGCTTTTCTTTTGGGGTTGGTGATGAGCAGATTCAGGGTACACAGTGTAAAGCATGGAGTGAGCAACATCGCAGTTCTGCACTAAACATGTAGTTTGGATGAGCGTCACAGTGCTCACCAAACAAGCACTATTTTCATTTATTTTTGACTCTCTTAAAAAGAGTCTTTCACTTTTTCTGTATTTTCTCATTTCAGTTCCACCATTCACTCATGTCATCTGACAGAATAGCTCCCTCCATCATATTCTGAGCATTGCACAATTTTTCCCCACTTCTTTCATTATCACGATCCACTGAACACCAGCAACCTATTAATTCTTACTTCTATGTTTTTCATTTGATTAATAGATGTATGCTCTTTACTATAATCCTTTTGCATTCTAGCTCAGTCTTCCATACGGCATGGTCATATAGTCGAGTGGAGTAGGTGGCCATAATAAATATAATAAAATAAACACATTAATTAAAAATGGTCATGAACAAAAGGGCCCATGAATATTGGTCTTTAATGGTGCCTGCCCATCATAGCATTAGTATACCAAGACTTTCACAAAATATGTTTTAGTAAAATAAAAAAAGAGTAGACTAGTTTACCAGCCTTAATCATATCCATGCCACTTCCTGCTAATTGTAGGGAACAATACTTAGCAATTTTGGCAATTGGGCCAGTATAAGCACAGTCAACACCCTCTTTTATGACAGCATGCTCATGGTATTCTATGTAAGCTAAGATTTCTAAGATACAGACTGCATGCCAACACATTGTTACCTGTATCCCACCTATTAGGAGGTACATGCAATGTATTGACACCTTTAGAATAGAGTTTTACTTAAAAAAACAAACAAACCATATGGGTGCCCATAATTGGTATCAGAGCAAAAACAAATGTGCCATCTGCAAAAAAGTTACATTAAAAATAACATAATAATAGAAATAATCTCTAAAACTTTTCCTTGTTACACATTATGGGATACTACCAGCTCAGTGCTTTATTACTATATAGGAGGGAAGGTCATCCTTTTGGTAGTCAAAGGCTGCCCTTAACATTTGGTTGAGGGATACAAAATGAGTGAGGACTCACATAGGCAGGACTTTTTCCCCTTGCTTTTTGCCCTTAACAGAGTTTGGTGCATTCCTTTGTTTTAATCTATGCTATGACTGTTTTAAAGCTGACAATAATTTTTCATGGTTCCCCTTCAAAAGAAAAAAAAAAGTAGCAGATAACTGTGCTGTCAGTTTTCAGTGATCATAGTCACAGGTTTCTTCAAATACCACAAAAAGGGGCTGGCAAGTGGGGTGGAATCATATTGCCCATTTCTGCTATGGAGTCTATAGGGATGTTCTTTTCAGAAAGAGAAGAAAATTGTGTCATTTGCTGTTGCCCTTTGAAATTTCCTGCATATGGGTGAGTAGGCTTCAGAAAGAAAAGAAAAAGTTCATACATTTCCTCAACCATAAGCTCTTCTTTATAGTATGAATCAAAGATAGGACAACCTATGACTCTGTCAAAGACATTGGATCTCCACTCTAATTAGTGCAGTTAGCACAGCTAATTCTCAAGAAAGATAGGAGTTGAATTCAACAACAGAAAGGCCACATCCTTGAATAGACTGTTGTGGGAGCCCTTTTTTTCAACTAATAATAATTCATGGCTCATATGCCCTTGCCATTCTGTAAGATCTGCAAGCCAATATCCAATATTAACTTTATTTATTTTTTAATCCTTTAACTTTCAAACTATATAATTCTGTGCATCCATAATAATCCCCTGGAAGGGTAGCAAATACTCAGTTTTGGTGAATCTGCAGCTGACTCAGGTGAAATAACCTTCCATGAGAGGTCACAGAATTAGACTTTGGAGAAAAGCCAATCTACACTGCAAAGGATCCATACACACTTAAGGAGCAACATTACCTGGCATATCCATCTAGCCCAAGATCAATCTCATACTTGAAATATAATTTGCTAATTTATGTGAGTATAAGGTATGGTCCTACACTATCAAGTTCCAATTAGCAACCTGGAGAGGCGAAGACAGACTTTTTAAAAAGGCACTAAAATCCTAATAAAACAAAATATGGCATTTTCCAGGGGCACAGGATTTGAGTGAGGCAAAGCAGAATCCACACAACACAACAAAACCAAACTGGAATGCTTCATGAGTGTTACAGCACTTCATAGTAAGTACTGCAGATAGAAGACCCAATGCCTTGCAAAAAGGGCTGTACTGTTTACATTTCTCTATAAACACCAGGATGCTGAGGGAAAGAGGACAAAAGGAAAGAAGTCATGACTGAGAGGTCACTTGACCTCCTTTGATTCTTGTAATCATAGGAATCCTCTCAGAAGCTGTGGGGAGTAGGCATTATAACATTCCATATTGTGCATCAAACCACTCGGTGAAGATACCTGTTTCTCCCCCTCCATCTGTTACTTTCCCAAACTTGCTGCTACTCTTCACACCTTATTGAATGGGGCCCAGCTGAATTAACATTTCCCCAATTTTAAAAATTCCTTCTGCACAGCCTTTTTAATCTGTCTGAAATTTGATAGGATTTATTTTCACTGCAGGACAATTATGCCTTCTTATGTAATTTCCCAAAACAAGAAACAAACAAAAAGGGAAAACTGTGCACTTATTTCTTAAAATTTTCTTTCCATCATAATGTTCCTGCAAAGTTCATTCCATTCTTTTGGGGAAAACCCCAACAGATGTTTGTATTTTTAACATACTTGTCAGCGAAGGTATCATCTTGCTTTGGAATGGGCCTTCAGATGAAATGGGCAATCCCCGATTCAAGTCAAAGAGGGCTATTCCCTAAATAGCGAACTGAGCCTTGAACCAGTTTTTCTAATCAAAGCATATTTATACTAGATGCAGTAGCTCTATTGTCTTCAAAAGAGCAAATTAATCTTCCTTGATGCGTTTTTCAACATATGGCAAAACACAAGTTAAACTTTGCATACATGTTGTGCAAACTGCAAGGAAATTAAATCTGTCAAGAGAATCTGACTCACAGGATATACTATTAAGTGAAATAATGTGCCATGAAAAAGTCAGCATGTCCATTATAACAATCTTTGCATTCTCTTGGAAATGTTGGTCTTGTGATAGTGGCTATAAGCATTTGGGAAAGCATTTGGGAAAGCGTTGACTGAATAAATGCATAAGGAGAGAGAGATAATGTCCCTTAGCTATTTAAACAAATTAAGTATTCTGTTTATTTGTTTAAAATTGTCCTACCAAATATACTAATGTAGGCTCTTGTGGCAGCTTAACATTTTAAATGGCTTATAATACATTGTAGTCTTTAAAGCATCCAAAAACTATTTAAAGAATTTTATATGGAGCCCAGTAGGTACAGAAATGGAACTGCTCTGCAGCTGTGCTCAAGTTAGATTTTAGTTTTCCTGTTTATTGGTTGTAGGCTCCACTTCCAAATTTGTAATTTGTAAAATATACATAGTTAATATATAGAGGAATGGATGGGCAATTTTTTGGTAGCTGGGGCTGTAGTGGTGGGAGGAGGGAATGATGCAAAGTAGGTGGGAATGCACCACTATGTGGGTGGACCCAGGATTTTGTTTTTACTTAGATTTGGAAGAAGAGGCATAGGCATTCATGGAGAAATAAGGAAAGACAAATGACAACACATTGTAACATCATGAAAACAATGTGACTTATCTACTTGCATCAAACATCATAATACAACTCCTGCAAATTACATAATCATGACACATGATGACAACATGACACATGTCATTTGGATGCCATCATGGCTTATAATGTATGGCTATGGGAAGGGGGGGGGTTTAAAAGATGTTGAATGCATTTGAAAGCTTGTGTTACAATTGCAATTTGTTTCTTTCCTCAAAATGACAGTAACTCATGTCATGTCATTAGAGGGAGCTCCAGGAGCTGCATAAAAGCAGCTTATGGACCACTCTATCCTGGGATGTCAAGTTATTCAGTCAACATAAAGTGTTATGAATACTGTATGCATATATCATCAAATGTATTGTACCTAAAGTACTAATTTTAAATGTTTTGGTACATTTTTTGTGCTGAATAGTGTATTGGAATGTTTGGAGAAGAGCAAAATCTGAAGGATAATTATATATTCCATACAATAGCTTGAGAAGTATAGGCAAGAACATTATAATTTCAAAGAGAAAATTTGGCAAGCTTACCTGGTATGACAGTTTATTAATTAGACCAAAATACTGTTCTTTTCAGGGAACTCCAGCATAAAAGTAGATATAATGGATCAATTCAAGGTATAGTATTTGAAAAGAAAGACCTTAGATTTGTTCCAATTGGATCTGAAATATATGCAATTTGTTCTCTTTCTCTCCCCCCCACCCCACCCCAAATGCACAGGGACATAGCTGGTCATACTGTCCAAGATCAGCAGGGAAATACAGCTTTTGAGAAAACTGCAGTGATTTTTACAGTAATGGCTCCAGGACATGTTTATGAGGTCACTTCTACCTCTGCAATGTCAAGCCATTGTCTGGATTTTGAAATTATCCATTTGCTAAAATACTAACTATATGGGAATCTAATCAAAATGCAGACTGCAGAACAGGAAGACAACAGAAAAAGAAATGCAGCTGCAATGTTTAAATGATAGGACAGATGCAGTATGAAAATATGACAGGAACTTTTGCAATTTTGTTAAATAATGACCACTGGTTTGATCTTGGTTTTGAAAGAAAAAGTGCCTTTATACAGCAAATTATTTTGCTGGTAAAGAATATTTTCTTTGGCAGCAACCTCAAAATCAAAATGTAGGCATTTGCAGCTGTGGTGAATAATCTGTCAGCAGGGAAACCATCACAGCCTAGAGGAGAGAATTAATACAATTACACTGGGAAAAATATCACATACATAATGCAGGTTTAGTTTGTTAGATTAATAACTGATAAAATCAATTGGTCATGACTAATTCATCCCATTGTTTTCAGTGGCACCAAAATCCAACCCAATGTTTGCAGGCAACATTGGAGGTATATGTAGAATGATAGTGAAGTAGAATATATATGCAGAGTGCTTTTATCTCAATATTAGTATGTCAATGCATAAGAACATTGCTGAATGAGACTAAAGATGTATCTAGTCCAGGATCCAATTTTCCCCAAAGACTAACTAGATATCCATGGGAATGTTACAGATGATACACAGGAACCAAAAACTTCTTCTGTTTACTGCTAGCTGGCAAATGGAGTTCCAAGCTTTGCTGCTTGTGATCTTGCAGTTAGCATACAATCATGATCACTAGTACCCAATGATAGCCTTATAATCAATGAATTTGTCTAACCTTTTAGAATGGCCTATAGTTATTGACCATCACCAGTTTTTGTGGTGATGGATTTATCTATCTTAAAAAACATAATTGGCAGGAGAGAGCAGGGAAAACTGCAAAGTGTGGCTTTTGAAATTCTTTCTAATCCCTTAATAATAAATCCACTTTGGGTCACATGACTGAAAGGGAGGAGGGAGGGGCCTTAGAATAGAGGAATTGTGACATTCCAAGTCTCTGCCCAACTCTATCTCCTATAGAGATGCATTGGGAGATTTTTTAGAGATTTTTTTCTCTGTCAGCTCATGTTATTGATGCTCCTGACTTAGCCTGAAGGGCGCTGCCTTCTACATAAGGCTTTTTCATTCAGACAGAAATTCTGACTAACCACAGTTTCTGTCTCCATGTTAAGAACCATGAAACTGTGGAGGACAGCTTTTTCAAACTCAGCCAATAGTACATTGAACAAGAAGTGTGTCTAATGAATACATAATAGTGAGACTATTTCCATCAAAACTTCCTTGCCTGTTCCTGTTTTTAATACTCAGTCCCCATATACTTAGTCAATCTGGGAACGGGAAAACCCATTTATGCCATTTTGCTTATAAGCATAAAAACCTAAAGACGATTTAGTCAAGGCTGAAATAATTGCTATCAGTGCAGGCTTCAAATTTAATATCTATTGGGAAGTTGGTGTGATTCTGACTATCAGAAAGAAAAACAGAATAAAGCTCCATCATATACAGAAGAGAACTGCTGACAGCTGACTACAATGCCCATACCATAATAGTCCATTTCCTGTTTTCAGCCTCTTGAAAAACCAGTGACTTTGGAGAATAAAATACTTCGTCATTAACTTCTTCTGGCTTTCTGGGTAAGCAGTGTAAAAAAGTCCAATCAGGAGCAGCCTCTTGCCCAGTCTAAAAATTTAGAAGAAATACATATATTTGAATCTCATAGGTAGGTAATGCTGCAGCATGAAGGCAAAACTTATAAGTTCACAGTTGGAAAGATGTACAACTTACCATATTTATTAAAACTGGACAATTATTGACAATAACAGCTAGATCATGATAATGAAAATAAGGCTGAGCAGTGCTTCAAATTTAAAGGCAAAAACTTGTTTCTGGGTGATTGAGCATAAATTTAGCACCTGTTTTCAACTTTTTAAAACAGCTGCATCTTTTCCCAGGATTGCACAGTTGCTCTTCCTGCTATAGCACAAACCTACAAAAAGGCATGTTTGGTTTAAGGAATTCCAAACAGGTGTTACGTTCTTGCCCTTATGCACTATGAAGTACATACTCTTTCGCCTGTACAGATCTGAAGTGCTGTACACCTCTATACTGTAAGCTTTAAAACTAATATAAATATTTTACTTCTGGTAGTTTTGTCCTTCAGTTATTATCCTGGGATGTCAAGTTATTTAGTCCAACATAAAGTATTATGAATACTGTATATATATATATCACCAAATGTATTATAACCTAAGGTATGAATTTTAAATGTTTTGGTACATTTTTTGTGCTGAATAATGCATTGGAATGTTTGGAGAATAGTAGTAAGTTCCTTATCCTGTGCTACTGAATTGCATGTGAAGCAGTGGTGTCTTACGGTAAACTTTGCAGACCAAGCACAAAGAGCAAATATCCTCTTCTACTATGCAATCAACTTTTACAAAGCCAGAACAAAAACACATAGGAGTGTGTGTGTGTGTGTGTGTGTACACATACATACAGATACATGTGTGCATGTGGATACAGTATACATGTGCGCACACACACACTACACAGTATAACATAAAAGATTAATGAAAAAAGAGAGAGATACATGCCCATCTGGCATATCACTGTGGCAACATGGTAGCTATCAAAAAGCAGCAATAAAACATGGTTCATCTGTATTAAAACACAGAGTATTATGTCATATGTTCCAGACTGGATGGTCAGAAACCACAGAAGACATGTGGTCCCTCAAATAGCCAGGCCCTGTGCCATGAAATGCTTTCTAGGTGATAACCCGCACTTGGAAGCTTACAGGCAACCAGTGCAGCTCATGGAATAGTGTCACATGGGGATACTAAGGCATGCCCATCACTACCCACACTGTTGCATTCTGGGCGAGATGTAGATTCTGATTGGTCTCCAAGGGCAGCCCATGTACAGCACATTGCAGTAGACCAACCATGAAGTGATTAGGGCATAAGTGACCATCTCAAGGGCTTCTCTATGTAGGAATGGGTGCAAATAGTGCACTAGATGCGCAAAGGCACTCTTGGCCAAAGCTGCCACTGCTCTTTCAACATGAGCTATGAATCCGAGACCACCACCAGATTGCCTATCAGTCTTAAAAAGGTAAGTGCAACTCAATCCAAGACTAAAGAGGGAGGTCCCAGATCCTATTTTAACATACAGAAACATATTATCTGTTTTTATATTTGTAATAAGTGTATTAGCATGGTTCACGCTGATTTTACAGATACTCAAGCAGCAAAATTTAGAGAAGGAAAAAGAAATATTCACTGCACATCTTTTAATAAGAAAATATCACTCAGCTCAGTACAAGCAATCCAAAATCTACAGAAAATGTCCAGTAAGCAGAGCATGTTTGAACTGATTGAAAACTCTCATTAAACTCAATATGAGAGTTAAGATAGAAAGAAATAAAACAGAAGTAGCTTTAGTTTTATATATGAAATATACATTTAGCTAATACTTCATAAAATACTAATTTAGTTTGCAGGCTGGAAAATTGCCAATACTTTATATTACAGTCTCAATGCATTTAGCACCAATATATGTTTTTTTTTTCTTTTTACAGTGAAATCCGTTCCTTTATCCACATGCGTTCCATGTATTTAATAATCCATGATTTATTGCACTCTATTATAGGAGATGGAAAATTACCCCA